TATATTTTAATATAAAAAAAACGGTTTTAAATAAAAATACAACCAACTCTTATCATGTCAAACGTATTTTTATCAACAAAAAGATAAAATAATTATCAGAATCTAATAGAAAATATTTCATTTAGTTGCAAAATAAAGAAACATAACAAATGCTTAAAAAGCGAATTTTAGTCTCAATAATATTTAATATAAGTAGGTAAAATAATAATAATCTATGGTTAATTGCAATAATTTTTCCTCGGAAAAAGGATTTTTAATTTCATATTCCGAGGTAAAATATTTTTCTAATAACTTTGATGTGGTGAAAATCCAATTTTAAACAAGACATTTATTACACACGTAGTTTAAGAATTTGAAATGTATATAATCAGAGTATTATAGCACATATTATGTACCACTCAAAATGTTGGTACTCCACTTATAAAAACGTCAAATATCTTATCATTAATTCATAACTTATAGACTTATCGTTTGAAATTAAATCGTCAAATATCTAATTCATTAAAAAAATATTCTATTTTGGAATATGAAATTTAAATTATTGTAATCGTTAAATAAATTAAAAAATGTTAGAATATACCTAATTATGATACAAAATATTATTTGATATTTAAATATTTGGTATTTTTTTTAAATTGATATCAAATGTTTACTGTTATAATAATTATTTTGAATAGTAAATTATGACCACATAGGTACTAGACTAGAAGATAAGACAAGTAGAACAGTGTAAATGTATCGTGGACGGTAAAATCACGTAATGCGCTWGACAACTCAATAAATAGGAATAATAATGTAGATAAATAAATGTATATTTACAGTTATTATAAAATCAGTGAAGTGGTATGTGAAATAATTGAGAACACATATATTTTGTGTTTTTAATATTTTGGTATGGTCTTTCTATATGTTTGGGTTTTTTGCATGTTCTTTTGTGTTATGTTGAGTTTTATTTGATAACAAATAGTTTTCTTTTCATGTCAAGAAGTTGAATTTATAAGGTGGATAAAGATAAACACAACATTTATGTATTTATCTTTTATATAGTTTCAATAACTATTTAAACATTAAAATAAGCGATGAAAAAATTAAGACATATGTTTAAAAGTAAACAACCTTTAGATTTTATGGATGAAGTTTTTATTCAATTTAGGAAATACTTTGAAAGTTTATCATTTTCGAATTCGTTGTCATATTAAATTGTTTTATTTTATTTATGTACCTACCTACATTTCCTTTAATTGCACGATGTTTTTTTTTTRAGCCATTTTTAAAGAYTTAATGCTTTTGTAAATATTATATTATTTTTATTTTTATAGAACTATACTAAAGAGTTTATTAGTAACTATATTTAATGATATGAATATATTATCATTTATAGTTTGCAGTTATTTGCTAAATTAATTTCAGTGGAAACGACGAGGATAAGATACTTAAACCCTTTATATATTAATATCTGGTCGTTCATTTTATGTATTAAATTAAAATTATCATATTCTTACTCCTTATAAGTTATATAAAAATTGTATATTATTAAGATAACAATAGAAGTATCGTAATATAATAGTATATAGTGTTATAGAAATATTTTATTTTAGGTATCTTTTGTAAGAAGTTTAGTAGGTTATCTTGTAATTCGGATGAATTAAATAATT